TTCACAACCTCTAGCTTGTGACAATCCTTACTCAGGTAGATGCTACACAAATATATACTACTGTGGTTCAGCAGTTTTGTTAGTTTCTCTTTTCTCCCATAGACCCCTTTTATTTGGTAGATTTTCTGTGGGCATTTGAAGAAGGGGTACTTGGCCTAAAAGGTTAGGGAGAACAGATCTGTTTTTAGGTTGGAAAGAGTCATATTGACCATCGAGAATTATTAAATTCTACCAGACATGGTATCCTACCCCTGATAATATTGAATCCTCAAATATTACTTATTCATTTTTATAGGACCAGCATATGTTTAAGGGAAAGAATGTCATACTGAGTTCTGAAGAAGATATGCCCCAATAAAAGAGTAGTTAATATTTATTCTGTTTGTGTCTAGACTCCAAGGGATTAGATTTAAGTCCAGTAGCCTTAAAAAAAAAAAAAAAAAAAGGAAAGCTGATGAATTTTCCATTCCCTTCCTTTTACAGAGTACTTCTTTGTTTTCAGCGAGGTTCAGAGTTTGCTAGTTTAAGGAGCAGATGAGTTTGCTCAGCGATCACTTGCCTACTTCTGACCCGTGTGTGATTTCCTGACTTGCTGCCTGCTGTCTAGCAGGAGCTCAGGTGTGGAGATTGCACACTCACCCTGCCCCGCTCCAGCACAGAGCTCAGTGCAGAATGAGCTGTCCCTCCTCATTTCTGGGACCTTAATTCCAAGGGGGATATTGTAACAAGCAAGTGCAAAACTGAAGTGCAGTCCTTTTCTTAGCTTCTCCCACTCTGTAACCTAGTCTTTGCTGCTCACCTCTGCTCCTAATTCTCTATTCCATATTAAAAGTTTTCTTCCTCTGTCTGTATGCATTGTTCAGTATTTTGTATATCAGCATATACCCTGTATTCTGAGGCACCTCCTTGTAGGAGGTGATTCCAAAGTAATCTTACCTAGATAAATCATCATTCCATAGGGGAGGTGTCTTATGCCATTTTGAGTAAGAATAGGGCAAGATTTGAGTAGAGAATTTCAAACCTCTAGGATGGTTCCTGTGATTTTTTTTCAGAGCTTCACAGAATTGATGCTGCTGTCTCTGTGGGCCTATATAGTATTGGGCTTGGAAATAATCCTTCCAGGTTCTTATCAGTGATTTTCAAATATCGCTGATATTTGACCAAGTTTGTAGAAAACAGGAACTCACTATTGGTACACCTGACAGATTGCACCTAACAGTCCCTGTCTGGCAGAGGAAAATTGGTTCCATTTCATGAGCTTGATGGAGAAGTTTTTGATTTTGTTAAAGTATACACTTTAATAACTTTACCAACTTTTTTTCATTTCATACCTGAGGTCTAACACATAATATAGTGTACTTAATATACTATATTAAACTTTTGTTTAATCTTGGAAGTGTGGTAAGACAGAATGTAGTCAAGTGTATTTATTACTAACCTTTTGGTACTATTCAGTCTCTATTCTTGTTAATTACAGTTGAAGACTGTAATTATATAAGGAGGCCTGGAAGACTGACATGAGAGGCCAAAATGTTCTGTATAGATGGCAACTTTTAAAATATTTTAAGAGCCGTGTAGTAAAATGGATAAAATCCATTTTATAGATGTAATCAAAATTAATTTTTCAAAATAACTTTACATAAAGAGTAGGATTTGGTGATTTGTTTGTTACAACAGGAGGAAGATATTTGCCTGCCTTCTGCTTCAGAAAAGTAGCTTTATCTCCAATAAAAATTTGAGAGAATTTTCAAGCCATAGATGGAAGTGGTTATCTGAGGTGTTTTCAGACTGTATTTTCTTGCCCTCCTGTTAGTGTCGTTCTCTGTCTGTCTGTGAATCGCTGCCAAATGATTGCTGGGAGAGACTTGCTTCCTCTGCCCTAGGCACATGTGGTGGTTTTGACTTTTTACACTAGGCTTCTATGTTTTCCCTTAACTATTTTTTGTAGCTTTGCCTTTGATTTATGTTCTGCTAGGTTGCTGCTCTTTTGATTTCCACATTCACCTACTAGATAGTAAACTAAGCATTTCCACGCAGGTGATGCAATCACAACTGAAGATTTTAAAGCATTATCCCAAGGAATTCCCACTACTTGAGATTCCTGCTCCTGCCTTTGGGGACTTACACACTCCATTTGGACCTTTGCCTTTCAAGTAATGCAGAGAGATTGGTTTTGTTGAATGACTCTTCTACCCATGGACGCTCCTGATTGCTTTTTAGATAGACATGTTGCATGAATGATTTTTAAGAATGAAGGGTTTACATGCCGATCTCCTCTGCTGGTTTGCTTGGTATAACTGGCTCCTGTGCTGATTATGCCTAATCATAACCTCTGTGTATACAGCATTGCCTAGAGTACCTTTCAGGAACAGGTAGACTCGCAGAATTCTGTAGTTGTGAACATTCCTTGGTTTCATTTAGTTTCTAGGCACTCAGTGGCTTTCTAAAACTGGCAGATGAACACTTCTACTACATCAACCTCTAGATACCAGTCCAGGCCCTTAAGTTCCAGAAAAGAATAGCCGTAGAGTTTAGTATTATGGTGAAAGTAGTTCCCAAAGTAATAAACCAACAACCCCAGGTTCAGGTCTGTCCCTTGGTTTTGTTGCTTTCAGTGGATACAGAAGGCGTTGGAGAGCAGTAGAATGGTGCCATGTGTTCTTCACTTGTCACAGTGCAAGCATTTATGAAGCAATCTGGAATGCTAGCATTGTTTTTCTCCCCTCAAAAGATAAATAGACCATTGCATTGAGGATGGAGATGGAGTGTGACTTCTGGGCCTTTGAAAAAATGTCTAGCTATTTTCATTTAGACAAAAATGTTAATTCTTCCAACAAATTACCTATTTAGCTAGAATTAATATAAACAAATACACAGCCCAGGGAGTCAGACAGTACCATCAAATCAGACTTCTGAGATGTATTTCAGTAAAAATAGAAAAAATAGTTGATCCAGCTGTCCAGGGTTTTGTTAAGCTTAAAAGCATATGAGTGTTTTATATACGTTTCATCTGCCCTAAAAACAAATGCAAAACAGAGAGTGTTCATGAGAGAAGTAATTGCACTGAACATGTATCATGGAACTCAAAATGGCAGCAAATGACTTATAAATGTCTGGATATTTTTTAAGCATTTAAATTTTTTGAGAACAGACAATTCTATATAGTAGTTTAGGAGCTTAAACAGTCTACTTAAATATTACAAAAAACTCATAAAGTCCTAGAGAGAACTGAAGAGGCTATCACTAATAGATATTAGTTATAGATATTACTTATAATATTAGAAGAACAGATATATTCTTAAATCTCCAGTAGTGAGAATAAATGAGATTAAGTGCTCTGAGATATGGATATTGGTTTATAAAATAGTTATGGTTATGTTATAAACCACAGTCTCATTTTGGAAAAATGAAATTTTTTGAACTTCTGAACTGAACTTCTGAACTTCTTGGCAGAATTGGGGTGGGGAGATATTTTGAGTAGCTTTGATTCTCTCAAATGTGACTAGCAGTATAAAACTAAACTCCTCTTTTGTAAGAGTATATATAGCAAGCAAGTTAATACAGTTGCCTTCTTACAGAATATGCTCATTCCCTGAGGAATATCAGAAAACATGGCCAGGATATTTTATAGTGCTGTTACCCATGTCACCTCATATTCCATTACTTAAAGAAGATGAGTAAGTTGTAGCTGGTGTACAATGCTTTTTTTAAATGGGAAAAGCCTTTTTGATGATTTATAGATGAGCTTTAAACAACTCTTGTCAATGAGTTACAGAAGGGGGTGAGTGAAGTGGAGCCTCAAATTACTACTACTTCGGTCTTCCTTTTCTTTTTTATAGAATACAACATTTATAGCTGTGAACATTTCTAATATTTATAGCATCCTTACTGGTTTTCATGCAGAGCAGCAATATCACGTCCCAACCCCTGCTGCTGTTTATATCAGCAGCAGTTAAAATTTGACTTACTAATCCCTCATTGCTGCCTCTCCAACACCTCATTTTTCATTTTTGTAGAGCCTTAGGACTGTTACAGCTGAGCATCATGATGTTAACACCTCCTCAGCCATCTGGCACAGGGGAAGAGGCACCTAAACAGATTCTTCAGAACAAATATCACATAGGAGCAAGATCAGAATAGTGTGAGATCTAAAAAACAGGTAAAGAAGGAATGAAGAGAGCCTGAATGACAGCAAAGGTGAAAGCAGAACCCAACGAGGTTTTGAATTGCAAGCCCTCCTTTTGCTGGGAAAAGATCTGCCTTTTGCTTTATAGAAGAAAATAGTTCGTAGTAGTCTTATCTAAACTTTTTCTAATTCCAGACTAGAGGCTGTTAGCTAGAGGAATCTGGAAAACATTGTAGCCTTATTTCCCCCCATCTTTGCATATTTTTGACCTGTGAACCTGCTTTTGAAGAGATACTTTGTTCATCCTTTTAGATAAGAAAGCATATTCCAGCTACTGCTCATTTTATCTTAGTTGAAAGTCCTCTGGAAGTTTATGTTGAGGGTAGTGGGATCCCTATTCAAGGAAAAGGCTTATTACCTTGATTCCTAATGCTGGGAATTTTCTATATTGACTACTGTCTATTTAGATAGATAGTTAGTGAAATGACTTGTAAGTATGATTATTCCTTTGTCCAACAATCCTAACTTTCTGAATTTGGTCTGCTTAGTGGCTACTGAAATTTTACTAATATGGAAGCTGAAAGGTGATTCCAGCTTTTGATAGTTTTTATTTTTTTTAACCTCCTCTTTTGGTGATCATTGTTTTTCTGTGTCTAGGCAAGGATGGTATGCTAGAGGCAATTACGTGTTGGCTCATTAGGCTGAAACGAATGTAGCCAAGCTATCTTTTTCTCAGTGCTTTGCAGCAGTTGTTCAAAATCCAAAACAAAAACAAAACCCTTAGGGACACTAATGTACTTGATTTTGATATTGCTTGCTGTTGCTTCACCTTTCCTTCCGTATCTTGCTCTCATGCTTCCTAATGCCTGAGCAGACTGCATCGTCAGAGCGCCGAGGAGAGTGGGAAATCCAGCCCAGCCGGCAGACCAATACCTCATACCTGACGTCTCACTTGGCTGCAGACCGCCATGGGGGATCAGTGCAGGTACTTACGGCCTTTATTGCCTTTTCCTGGCCCTCCCAGCTTAGCTGGTAGAATGTTGGCTTGCTTCTGAAACCCAAGTTCCTTTAGAATGGAAACTTACAGCGAGGTTGAGCTGCTTTTATAGTGAACTGAATATCTCTGTGCTGATTTTCTACCTAGGTGGACTTGTAAGACTCACTTGTTGAGATGATTCTGGGTAGTTGTCATTGACTAAGAAATATCTATATGACTTCTGATACTGATTCCTGGTTAAACTAATCCTACGGCCTTGATCCACTCATGATAGACCATAAAATAACGTCAAGGTAGAAGTCTGTTAGTGTCAAGTCTGGGAACTGCAAAGAAATATTTAAAATAAGTATTTTGGGGATAGAGGACTGCATATGTAGCTCATTCCATGATGATATACGCCCTAGTACATAAGGTGAGATTGTTCATTGGTCCAACTCAACCGTTTATGAGTGGGAACCCAAGAAGTTGGGCTATTTCTTTTTTTCTCCCTAGAATAAGTGTGGTCTTAGAGAATTATTTCTGATTTCATTTGGACTATTTTGAATCTCTATTCTCCCTTGTAAGAGAACACCTTAAGAACACCTTGCATCTCTTAACTTTTCATATATGTCACTATTTCAATAATCTTAACCTGAATATTTTTCTCATAGTGGTAAGTGACACCACCAGTTGGGGCACACAGGTGAACCCAGAGCTACCAAATGTAAATTCTTATAAAGGGATAGGCAAGCCTTTTTCACATAGAAACGCATCTTGATAGGCTGATTGTTTAGGATATGCCTTTACATGGAGTGACTCACTGAAGATTGTGTTATTCACAGGAAGTTAGGAGACAGTTTTGTCCTCTAAACCAAAAATGATCTCATAGGAACATCTCATAGGTAAAAATGATGGATTGAACACACCCACTCCTGAAACAACACTAAAAAAATGATAAGGAGATTTTTTTTTTTTTAAGGTATAAATCCATATAAGAATGGAGAAAACGGGCTTCCCTGGTGGCGCAGTGGTTGAGAGTCCGCCTGCCGATGCAGGGGACACGGGTTCGTGCCCCAGTCCGGGAAGATCCCACATGCCGCGGAGCGGCTAGACCCGTGAGCCATGGCCGCTGCGCCTGCGCATCCGGAGCCTGTGCTCCGCAACAGGAGAGGCCGCAACAGTGAGAGGCCTGTGTACCGCAAAAAAAAAAAAAAGAAATTAATAGTGATTGCAGCAAAATAAATTGTCAGTATTCCAGATATACAAATAACGCTTACTTTTTAATTAAGTTATTCTAAAATAATAAATGGAAAAGCATAAAAATGATAGTTTCAAATACTAATAATTTGTTGCATTCGTTAGTTTCTTTACAGTTTTTCAAATTGCTTTTTTTCCTAAACATCATTCTATTTAACTACCATAGTAATTATAAGGTAAATAGGACCAAGGTGGTTATCAGCCTAATCTTACAGAATTAGAAACCAGGGCTCAAAGAGAATGTTGATGGTAGAGCTAGGCCTGGAATCCAGCTCTTGGGTCACCTACATTAGGTTTTTGTTCCACTGCTCATCTAGGCAACTGTTCAGTGGTTTGACGAACTGTACCTTCAACCTGAAATAATTAAGTGGATGCACTAGAGACCCAGATTAGTTGCCATTGATTCCCAGGTATATTCTAGGTTAGACAGCTGGTGGTAAGGTTACCATTTGTGCCTGATTTGTTTGAGACCAGATACTCATGGATACAGACAAGATGTCTAGTCTATAAAATGGGGATAACCTCTTCTTCCTTAGATTGCTCAAGGACATTGCTTGTGGGTCAAGCGGCAACATAGTAAGGAGAAATTAGAGAGTATGAGACATGCAAAACAGTATAAGCAAGTGCTGTGACCCAAAGTCACCAAGTAATTCACAGTGGTGGTGCTTACTATTGCTTTGTTCACGTCAGTAGAGGCCAAGACATTTTATTTAACATCTTGTCTAGTTCCTGAATTGTCTACTAAAAAACTTACTGTGATTTCTCCTTTAACCCTTGTGCTCACAGAATGAATTTACCAGCATTATCCCTAGTGTGCAGCCAGAATGTGCCCACAAGAAGCATATATAGGCTGAGGAAATTAACAGGACAACATTAGCATGACAGGCTGTGGTTTCTCCAGTCTGTAAACATTCTCTCCTCAACTTTTCATTTTGAAATTTTTAAATCTAAGCAAAGGGCTGGGGCGGGGGTGGGTGCAGTGAGCCTGTGTGTATCCTTAACCTAGATTAACAAATGATTGATTTTTGCCATATTTGCCTTAACTCGGGAGGGGTATGTTTTCTAAACTATTTGTAAGTACATTTTATCCCAAAATACTTCAGCCTGCATCTCCTAAGAATGAAGCCATTCTCTCATGTAACCAACAACACCATTGTCATATCTAAGAACATTAATAATTCCATAATAGCTAATGGACAGTCATATCACATTTCCCCCAGTTGTCTCCAAAATTAATTTTATAGTGTTCAGGATCTAATCAGGGTTCTTGCATTGTATTCGGTTGTTATGCCTCTTGTCTTCTTCAATCTCTTAGTCTCTTAATCTTTTAAAATCTATAACAGCCACCTCTGTGTTTAAAAAAAAAAAAAAGATTTTTGAGGCATGTCTTTTTTGAAGAATCCAGGCTTGTTGTCATATAGAATGTCCTGCATTTTGGATTTGTCTGGTTTTTTTCCATCATACTTAGATTCAGATAAAACTTTTGGCAAGAATACTATATAGATAATGTTATGTAGTATTCATCATATCATGTCAGGAGACAAAGTTAGGTTGTTCCATTGATCAGAGATGCTAAATTTGATCACTAGCAGAAACTTGGGTCTCCCATGGGTTAAGTCCAAGTTTAATACTGTATGTTTCCTTGACTAACTGTACAGCATTGTTTTAATTTTTTTAAAGCTTGTATAATTAATAAGAGTAATAAATAGTTCTGGTTTAGAAATAATGGTGGGTATAGACTTCTGGTAAGTAGTATTCACCTTGTCTACCCTCTCCTCAAAGACTCCTTATACTAAACATTTCCTTCCACCTTCCTCTTTATAAGTGTGCAGGAAATTTTTGCAAATTAACTGCTAATGAGGACCCCAGATCTAGAGGGAGATTAGAGTAAACATTTATGGAGGGAGAATAACAGTACTGTGAACGTTTATTGAGCCATTACCGTGGACCATGGCACTGGGCCAAGCACTTTCTGTGGGTGGTCTGCACAGTAACCCAGCTAGGTAAGCAGCATTGTTTGCCCGTTTTACAGATTAGGAAGCTCAGGCACAGAAAGAGTAAGATCTTGCCCAAGGACCCACAGCAAGTAAGTGGTGGAGCTAGGGCTCAGAGCCAGGGCTGAGTAAATGCAGAGCCCATTTCTCATCTGCTGCACTGTGCTGCCTCCATTACTGTGTACCAGCTGTTGTACCACACACTGTCTCATGCCTTTTCTTGTATAATTCTCACAGCAGTCCGTAAGCAGCAGTCTCATGTAGATGAAAAGTTACTCACCCGAGGGCGTATGGTATCTGAACCATTTATCCTATTTTGTTGTTCTCTCCCATGTCTCAGCCAAGGTCTTTAACAGCAGAGTAGTTTGTCCAGCGGGGTCCCTTTTCCCACTTCCCAGCACCCACGTAAACAGGAATCATGTGCTGGAAATGAAAGCAGGTGACAGAAGCAGCTGCACAAGCAGGAGAAGCCTGATGGGTTCCACCTAACCAGATGACAGGAGTGAGAGCCTTCAGTTACAATTCGGGGACCGTCAGTGAGAAATGGGATGACAGTGAACCTGAAATAAAGGTTGTTGAAATAAGACTGGTCTTCCAAGGGAAAGTGTTTCCTTACTGTCTGCCCTCTCACCAGAGAGGATGTGGCAGTCTTAGTTGAGAAACTTCAAACCGATGGTCCAAAGCCATGAAGAAATTTCTGAAGGAAAGTGTGATTGCTTATAGTTTTTGATGCTCACTATTGATTTCCTTTTTAGAATTTTTTTTAACATCATCACTGAGTCTGTATATAATTATAGCATAATAAACTGAGAGGAATAGAATTAAAGACAGTAATATGACCAAAAATTTTATACGATTTTTGTGAGGATTAAATTGATACACACACAACACAATGTAGCAGAGCTCCTAACACAGAGTAGGCATTCAGTATGAAAGTTATCATCATTATATAATTAAATCATTGAGTTTTGTGTTCTCACATGATATGGGTCTGGGAACATTCCCTAAGTTAGGACATTTAGCCCCCCAACCCAGGAAAACAAACATTCCAAACACTGCCTGGCTGTCACCTAAGCTAGAGACCAGATCTCCCTTAGTGACCCTCTGGGGCACTGGCAGGAGGCTCCGATTACCGTGGTGTCAGTCACACTCTGTCCTTCTGTTTCAGGTGGTTAGCTCAACCAATGGAGAGCTGAATGTCGATGACCCTACGGGAGCCCACTCCAATGCACCAATCACAGCTCACGCCGAGGTGGAGGTAGTGGAGGAAGCTAAGTACGTTCATCTTTCAAGGGGGCTCTTGAGTTATAGGTTGAAAAGCCTTTTCTCTGTCTCTTCCTCTCGTGTGCTGCTCATTTCAGACTGGATACCTCATGCTTGTGCCCACAGCTTTCTTCCTTTGACCATTTTATTTTTTGCATGGTACCTTAAGGCTGCTGCTGCCCTTCTTTAGCTGTGATTTCTGAGAAGACAGTCACATTTTTAGTCCACATGGATGAAAAGACATAGTGAACTAAAAGAATCCTGGTATGAGAGCTACAGCAGATAGCAGTCCTGAGCCTCTTGGGGCCCTGGAGCCTCTTGCTCCCTAAGGGACACAGAGAGAAATCTACTTGTCTAAACCATGGGCCATGCTGAACAGCATCTGATTTCTGGTTCTTGGCTAACCACTTTGCATCTATAGTCCTAGACAAGGGTCTCAGAGCCCTTTTGTTCTCACTTAAATGACTCTGAATTTAGAGAGACTCAGATAAGTCAGTCAAGAAAAATAGTCTCTGCACCTGTTGAATGAAAGAGTCTTGGGATGGAGAGGAAATTACACTAATCCCAAGAGGGTGAGGAGGTTACCCCACTCCCTTTTCTGCTTGTCTTGCATGTTAATGTCTTGCCCTGCCCATACCACCAGCCCCTTGGTGCTCTCTGCATGGTCTGTGTTTAAACTCTTAGAAAATGGGGTAGAAGGTGAAATAATGGCTGATTCTGCTGCAAAAGCAGCATTTCTATCACTTCTTTCCCTTTTTGCCCCATCCCAAATTCAGGTCCAGATTTACACTCCAAGGCAACATGAGGTAGGGAGAGAGAAGTCCTTCACCAATCGGTAGCTGCTGCCACACCTGACACGGATGACTTTTCTTATAAACCCTTTGAGAACATCCAGGCTATCCCAGTGTCTTGTTTTCAGAAGCAGGCACCATATTTATAGTGATATTGTGCCTTAAGTGATCCCTTGAGCCCCCAACTAGCCTAAGTACAAACCAGAACATGCTTATGCCTCAGTAAAAGGTAGAGGCTAGTCAAGATCTGCGTTCTTCCAGATACAACTTTTCATGGTTGTCCCCCTGCCCACTCCTCTGCTCTGCTGCCCATCTATTAGATGAGCTCACTTTTCTTTCGAGAGGTCGTTTCCTTTAAAAGCCAGGACTTGAGGATTCCTACCCAGTAGATAAAAAGCAACCGAGGGTGACTTGGACTCTCTCTTGTTGAGTCCCTACTGACTGTAGGCAGCTTCAGATGCTCCTCTCCTGGTTAATGTAAGGCCCTAATACGTAAGGAGGACAAGGGAGTGGGGGGTCAATGCCAGGAGGAGACCATTTTTAGTAAAATGAAACATGCTCCCTATTCTCAGGGGCTTTGTAAGTTTTAATGGTTCTCACAGTTTTTCAGTTTCCATGACAAAACTTCATTCTCCCAAATAAACAGTGTGGTACTCCTACCCTCTGACTTCTTAACCTTGGCTGCACTTTGGAGTCTCCTGGGGCATGTTAGAAAATACAAATGCCTGAATCCTGGCTCCAGAGTTTCTGGTTTAAGTTATCCTAGATGTGGCCTGAGCATCAGGAGTTTTTAAAGTTCCGGTGATTCAAATATGTCGCTGAGGTTGGGAACCGCTGTACTGGGTCTGATGGCAATGTTTGTGGTCTGATCCAAACATTGTCTGGGCTTGAAAGATGGCTGCGCCCGTTCCCATCCCCACCTCACTCCCAATTCACCGTTGCAGCTATTACTTTGAAGGCCAAAAGTTGAGCTCTGGATTTCATACTATACTTTGAGTACCAGGATTGAATTGGGCTTTAGTCTTATAATATGCCCTATACAGAATTATCTTTGAACCCATTTATCTCATTTCATTTTGGTAAATGTGTACACTAATTGTGTATGTGAATGTGGTGTTTGTATTCTGTGTATAAGATAGGGGACCAGTCACACACACAGATTTCAATCTGTTGTGTTCTGTTCTGGTATAATCTAAATTCTAGATGTAAAGAGAATTTAAAGTCTCCCGATTTAGCAAAGACCACTGTACCAGGTGTGAGCCTTCTGAAAGATGTGGAAACCAGAGGGGAGCACTCGTATTTGACCAATTGTCATCCAAAAGCTCATGGCTTAGGACATTTTGTGTGGCATTTCCCCCAGTGATTTCATGAGCCACCAATCCATCTTGTCCAGGGAACTGTCGGGGCACAGCCATGTGTTTTTCTTCTTGGCCCTTCTATGTATTGGTTGGGGGCAGGGGAGCCATGTGTCCATCTGCTTGATCACTTTCATGGGAAGAAGTCACAGCTAAGAGAAGCACAGGGCATCCCACACAACTCCTCATTGCACACATCTGTGATGCCTTTTGTCCATGCAGCCTGCTTGTGGGAAAAAGGGGGCTGTTGCCTACATTAAGATTGAGCTAGAGTACTGGGGAAACAGTGTGGAAACCTTCACTTCCCAGCTTTTGATTTTGGGTTCCTCAGCCAGCTTTTTTCGTGTAAAGGAGGAGAGAAATAACAGGGTCCCGTTTTTTGTTCTGTAAACAAAATAAACATCTAACTTACCCTTTTCTCTAGATATAGGACACATGTCCTTGTTTAAGAGTGATTGGAAGGGTAGTGAGGCAAGGCAAAGCTTTTTGGCTGACTTTTGTTATGGTAAGAACACAGGAATTTTTGGTTATCCACTGACTTTAGCTACAATTTAGCAAGTGTGGACCTCATTTTCTCTGAGAATTAACAAGAATGGGATTTAGGCCTTTTTCTGGCAGTTATACCTTAATCCGAGCAGTGACCCTCCTCGCTAGTCACCTCCTAATAAGATAAAGTGTCTCTTAAGCTTGTTTTCCCCTCTAGAGAAAGAGCTAGCTGCTGGCTGCTTTGGTCAGGCATGTTGGTGTTATAGAAAGGCTAGGGACTTCTCTTTCCCTCAGAATATTTGGGAGGTTAGCTTAACAAATTGCACGGTAAGACTTCATGTGGGAACCAAAATGGTTTGGCCTTGGTTCCTGATTGAATTCTTACAGGCAGGATCATATGCCCTTTCTCCTGCTACCTTCCTGGAAGTTGCCCAGGAAAGCCCACTCTTGGGGCTCCCACCAACTCTTTCTGTTTTGCCTTAGCCCTCACTGAGATCCAGCTCCCACCTCGATGCTTCTATCAGGCACCTGCCCCCTCCACTTTAGTGTGGGGACCAAGTGGCCTGGGCCTACTCACCCTGCCTTGACAGAGGAAGAAACTAAACACAGACACATACTGCATGTTTGCATGGCTCACAGGGAGTCGCTTCCATCTCACCTCTGTGGACTAATATCTCTCTTTCTCTCTCTTCCTTTCTGTGTTTTTCTCTTTACACACTCTGTAGCTGCCTGAAAATGCTCAACCTGTGGTGAGTCCCTCTCTCCAGTCCACATGCTAGGGGAGCGGACCAGGCTAGGTTGGGATTGGCAAAGCCAAACAAAATGCCTTAGGAACACTCAGTGGCTCCTGTATGCCACCTTGTGCCATACCCACCCAGACTGGGGAACTAGATCCACAAGGTGGGGATGGGCAGGCGTGTACCCAGCAATTAATCTGTTCCTTTTTTCCTTCCAAACCCACCACATTGCAGCCTCCTCCTGTCAGAACAATATCCCACCGTATCCAAAATTGTCTCTTCATTTTTAGCTGAGTGAATTTTTTCTCAAATTAATACGGCTAGATATTATCAGGCAGAGAGGGACAGAGGTAAGAAGACCAGATTACTGTACCAGTTGTATAATCAGAATCTAATTATTCCTCACAACTCCAAGGACAGTTGTTGCCAGATAATGTCACATTCTGTGGCTCGGTCTCTAACCTTAAAATTAGCAGCTTTGGAAAAATCTGTGACTTTTCTTTTTGGTTCAGCTGGTTCTTCCATCTGTAGAATATGAGTATCTCCAAATAAGAGAGCTGCTTCTTGGGGGAGAGATGGACATTTTGCTGTTGTTATTGTTGTTTTGAGTTTTTTGTTTGTTTTTCATTTATTGTCTTTTTTTTTTCCTTTTCTTTTCTTTTCTCTTCTTATAAGAGCATATAGTGGGCCAAGGGCCGACTTGGCTAGTGAGACATTGGAGTCTCTCTCCCACTCCTGGAGAAGGTCCCTTGAATGCACTTTTGGGGCAGCATGCGGGTCTTGAAGGGGAAGCCCTGGCGGCTCCACGTTGGGTGGGGCACGTTCCCACTGTAAGGCAGTGCCCTCCGTGCCTCGCTTCCTGGGCATTGCCTGTGAGCTCCAGGTGCTCGTGAGCTGATTGGTCTGCTGTGGTCTGGAGCCAGAATCTCCTACACTGCACGTGTGGGATGATATTCCGTGTGGTGATAACAGTCTGCTGGCCTCTGTGACTACCTTGTTTCTATTGGTCTTCAGTAACTGAGTTGGGCACCGGTTTCTGTACCCTAACTCTCTAAGCCAAGTTGCCTACAGGGTTTCCCAAGGGACAGAGATGTATTGAAGATAGCAATTGGGTTTTATGGAGATAGAATTTATAGTATTACAGTATCAAGGAGTACATTTGGCCTATTTATTTAGCAAACATGTGTCTGTGTAATCTGACATCATCGTGGTCTGTTTTTTCCTGTGAGATGTCAGTCACATGATCCTGACTGCAAATACAGGGCCTACTTTGTGCTCATCCACTCTGTGCTTGGAACTCTAGGGGGTCTCAAGGCCTCCCCCAAAGAGCTGAGATACAATCTACCTGGAGAGATAAGACATGCATGCTTGAAAGGACACTTTTATGGTATTGTCCCTTGAGAGGTCAGTGTTGACAGGGATGGTTAAGGAAGACTTGATGGATACTGTGGGGCTTAAACAAGGCATTAGAGCAAGGGAAGAATGTATAAGTACAGCAGAGAAACATAGTAAAGGAATAGCTGAAGGGAGAGCCAATCAAAGAATCAGCTGGAAGGAAACCTAAGACACAAGAAGAGTTCATCACTTGCCTTCAGTCTCTTCTGAGAGTAAGACATCTGTATGGAGTCAGTCAGTGGGCTTGGTCTGGGGTCTGACCAAGTTTCACAGGTCCTATTGCCGGTAGTCATCACAGAAACCAAAGAGTTGATTGTGGAGCCCGTTTCCTCATGGGTAGAATTATTAAAAGCTTCTGCTACTGCTGAAGTTTTAACTACAGTAACTAGCAAAAATTAAGGCTCTAAACCACAGCTCACACTCTCCTCCAGTCAGGTGAATTCAGCTTTGCACATCAGGTTATGATATGCTTATAATTCTTATGACTTGCCTTGGAGGAGGTAAAAGAGAAATTGTATCATTTGCAACGGACCAAAACAGTATTTCAAACTTTTTAATGATTGTTCTTAACGTAAAAACACAAAATCATCATCTTAGCATCCTCCAAAAAGCATAAGAATAAAAACTGACTTAAATGTTAGTGATCCCTCTGAAAATCATGGTTAACAGGGAACAGGTAGCTAGCTCTATTGAAGTACTGGTACTCCCATGAGATTTAATTCACCTTATTTAATAATTTCTGGACATTCAGCTTGAAAGAATGTCTGTTTTCTAAAGCATATGTACAAAAAATGACCTTTTTTTAAAATCCTTCCCCAGGGATTCCCTTAAGGACTGAAAACAATCAAAAGTGTTGGTCATTTTTACTTAAAAGAATTTATTCAGCCTCTAAATACAAAGGACACTTTGTTTAGTGACTATATTGACACCCATTTAATAGTACATCACATAGGTCATTATACTCTTAGAAAATCTTTTTTAAGACTCTCTTAAGAACCTCCTGTTTCCAACATCTCCATGTTTAATTCATTCAGTTATGGTTAAAGCCCATCATTTTGTCTGTGTAAACATCTATTTCTGCATTCTAAGAAGACACTTTCTCCAAGTTTTTGATAACTAGTCCATGGGGTGTGGGAATACAAAAGGGTCTGACTAAAAAAGGGGGGAATCTTAGCTACAGTGGAGGACTTAGGGGTATGCGGAAGTAAGCAACAGCTCTTTATTTCTGTATGAATATTTTTGACATTAAACCCAGAAGGATTAGGCAAAAGACCCAAAGATAGTTTCTGAGAAAAGCTTTCGTTTCAAGGATCCAGCAAGTCTGAGTGACACTTCCAGTTTACTCCCTTCCATCACATGGCATCTTTGACTCATCCACCACTTTCTGCCCCTCACATTCTCATTTCCCATGTGTCAGCTTCCTGGAAAGGACATATCTTTTGCACCAGCCATGCCACAGCCCTCATCACCCCCTTCTGGAATAGTCGCTGCCTGAGCAAGAGGGGCTTCCTGTTCCAAAGACAGCAGTACAGAGCAGGTACCCGAGCTAAAGGCTGTGGCAGAGCTGTGGCTGTTGAAGGCATCAGGCCTCAGCCCCACCCTAAGCAGGGTCAGTCCTTGAACCCAGTCTGGCACAGCAGCAGCCTCGGGAAGCTTAAGTCGAGGAGGACCCTGCAACCCGATGCTTCCTGGTGATCAACTGTGGCATTGATCCTCTCCAAATGAAGAGTAGGCTATGCTGATTTCAGTTAAAAGATCCTGGCTCACACAATTAGGGTCAGGGCTTCTCCTGCCTACGCCAGGGAGCTAGCTGGCTGGGGGCAGGGATGAGATTAGAGAGAACCCTTAATCCTTTCATTGGTAGCATGTGAGAGCCTCCTAGAGTTCCAAACATCATACTTTTCTTGGCATTTGTTTGCCTTAGTTTAGCCTCCATACCCACTGACCTCCGAAGTTGCATTAAATAATTTTGCCCTCTGTATGAAGGGGCACACAGTGCAGGCTCTTCTCATGCAGCCCTGAGGACCCCCAGCCTTGGTTCAGTATAAAGGAGGATGAGACTTTCAGGTTGGGGTGTTAGACTGAGAAATAAGCCTTCTACATCCTTCTTCCAAAAATGCCTGCTTCCGCCCTGCTGCCTAGCCTGCAGCACTTTGACGATTAGGTTTGGAATAAAGCAGCTCTCTCCTTTGGCTTTCCTGGCAGACACTGCCCACTGCCTCCAGTATGTGCACTGTAGATGGCGGGCGACCCTGTGGGTGGGTGCCAGGGGGAAGTTCCACCCCTGCAATAAGCAGAGGCAGGCAGAAATCTGTTGGCAGCTGCGGGCCTCCCGCACTGACTTGTGGTCTTCCTTGTGCTCCAGGTGCTGCTGCTTCTTTAAGAGGAAAAGGAAGAAGACTGCTCAGCGCCACAAGTGACCCGTGCCTCCCAGGAGTCCTCAGGCCCTGGGGACTCTGACTCGATTGCACCCGCAGCTCCTGCCATTTCTCATTGGAAGGGACTCCTCTGTGGGGGAGGGTGGAGATCCAAACCAAAAAGAAGAAAAACAGATGCCCCCAGAAGGAGCCAGTGCGGGCAGCCAGGGCCCAGTGGGTCAGTGGCTGCCCCTACCTGCCTGAGGCTCTGAGCAGGTCCCAGAGCCACTGGTCCTCCACTGCTTACCCTTGGGGCTGCCTGGTTGACTCTCCTTCCTATTGTTTACAGTGAAGGTGTCATTCACAAAAACTCAAGGACTACTATTCTCTCCCCTCCCCTTAGTTTACTTGCTCCTGGTTCTTGCCCCACCCTCAACCCTCTCCAGCATAAAAGCTAATGAGCTGAAGGCTTTGTCTGCTGAAGGAGCTTGAGAGGCTGGGGGTGCGGCCAAGAAGGTAGGAGGGAGATGCAGGCCAAGGCTGGAGAAGAACCTTCTCTGCCCACCAGGTGTGTCTGGCAGTATGGCTCCCTCTTCCTCTGTGCCTGTGCAGCCTCCATCCTGAGCTGGCCACGGGGTGCAGGTTACTCCCTCCTTCCCTCTTGTGAAGTTACACTGTAGGACACAAGCTGTGAGAAATCTGCAGTCTACTGTCCCCGTGTGTTGGCGTTCTTAGCTTTCTTGACAAGCGGACTCTGTTCTCCAGACAGTAGTAGAACGTTGCAAATTGTTCTGAGCAAAGGACAAAAAAAAACTGACTTTATTGCACTTTTAGTTTTTTTTTTTTTTTAAACAAAAAAACATGGCAGATGCATATTGTGTCTGGTTATATTGGGAGTTTTACTTTTTTTTTCTGTTTTGAGGGGGATGGGGCCAGCCAAGCCATTCAGAGAGAACATGGGTCCAGAGGACATTCTCAATGGAAAGAGTTGGGTCTGCAGCACCCAGAAGAGAAGAAGCCAAACTCTGTGTCATTCTGAGTGAACTCTCAGGTTGGCAAGGAAACATACTTGAATTTTCATTCGTCTTCTCAGCTGCTGAAGAATGTCCCTACCAGAGCCTCTTGACCTCATCAGCCTGCAGTTTGGACAACCTAGCTCTCCAGCACATGGGATGAGCCAGCCAAGCCAGACTGTGACAGGAGACAGTTCATCCCAGAGAAGGAGATGCTTAACAACAAAAATCTGAAATATCTGTTTCCTCCACTGCCAGGGACTTCCAACTAGATAGCCATGTGACTTCCTTAGTGACTTGGGGGACAAAATTAGTGATGAAACAGCCACCACTGTATTGCCACTAGTGGACAAGAAGGAGGAAAGTGATCCTGCCTTCCAACTGCCAGAGGAACCTCAGGATTTGGCTCATCATAGGGCCAGGAAATAAAATTGGTCTGTACTGTTTGCCCCAATAGCTGAGTTACAGCATTTGGGCTGGCCTGCCTTATCAGAAACCAAGAACCTGCAAATCTTCTTCCAGCAGGTCCATAGCTGCAGGCTTAGGCCTCAGTGTATGGGGTTATAGTGAACAGGAGGGTGAGACTGGTTAGTGCTGGAAAATTCCTGGGGAAAGGAGACTGAAATGAAAGGTGTGAAATTATCCTCTCACTTGGACTTAGACTCCTTCTAGATGAGATGGCCACGCATCTAGAGCCTGTTCTCCCCGGTACACTCTCCATGTCCAGACATGCTGCCATGAAGGGTCTTGGTTCCTCATTCACTGCTTGAAAAGTCGCCAACGTATGGAGTTAATAGAACTTCTCGTGCTTGATTTTCATTTGAGATGAGCGACTTATCCAAACAGTGACTTCTCATTCCAGATGTGATCGAGGAGAAGGGATTAATTACATCAGAGAACGAGGTCTTGTATCTGGGGGTAGAGAGAGCTAACCATGGAGGACAGTGGCTGGTGACTTAGTCTGGGGGTTTTGGGAACACGGAAATCATTGCCTCTGGCTTGAGATGTAGGGCTGTCTTTTGGACTGGAGGATGCAGACATAACTTTCTGGTAGTTGGTATTTTCTGACAAGTCCCTTGATGTGTCTTACATGGAGCAGAGATAGCAGCGGTAGCGTGGATCAGAGTTACTGGGCTTCACCTGTGTTCCACTGGTCCTTGGCTAGGAAATATCACTTCACTGGCTTCAAATTTGCCTAGCTTATATAAAGATTGTAATCGTTCATTTCTTTAAAAGAAAATTTCCTATTAACAGAATGGCTGGGAGATTCAGGGTCACACCGCTTCCCCACAAGAATTTTGAATATTGGGGTTTGCTTCCTTGACATTAGCTAAGGCACTGTCACTGAAACTTACATAGTTTCTCAGTTGGCATTTGGGTAACTCTTCTCAATTTGGGTAACTCTAATTTCCCGTATAGAATCTTTAACCTCCACATCCCTGTGTAGAAAAAGCCTTGCTTCTCATGGGAGGGCAAGAGGAAATGGTGGCAAAGTCCGGAGCATCCCTGGCACCCCTTACTCCACTAAGTGCCTCCCCACTTCCACAAAAAAGCAAAGGCAGTTACCAGCTTGGCTGCAGGGCAAGCCCTCTTGCAGCTGGGTTTGTGACTTTTTCAGGGTCTTAACTTTCTTTTAAAGGCTCGCTATTGCGGGATTTAACGTGAGCAGTTGTGGGGTTCTTCCTAATGCACTCTTCTCACTCTCGGCCCCCCCTCAGATCTCTTACTAGATATTTGATTTTTCATAACAAAGGTGAAGAGCCCAAGTCCTTCTGGCATGCACAGTAATGGTGACCTTCCCAGGGCCATTGGTACTCCAGGGCGGTTCCAGACCCCCGAGAGAGTCTACTGTGATCTTCCTTTAAAAAAGAAAAAAAAAAAATTTTTTTTTTTCTTTTTAAGAAGGATACCTAAGGAGTAATTTGGCCATCAGTTTCATCCCCATCAGCACATCCCATCAGGCCTCCCTCCTCAGCCCCGTTGCTGTCGTCGAGTAGCTATATTCCTCAGCCAGGGCCTCGGGGTTGGGCACTCCCTCCACCTACCGCCCACCCAAATCCACTTGCTCTGTAGTCTTTGAGCTTCCTTCGCTCCATAACCATGATACCTAGGGATCTTTTTCTTCAGGATTGATGCAGTTGCTGGGTTAGCATTAAGCACTAACAACATTAGGGGTTCTCCCAAGCCCTGCAGTCCTTCAGGCATTGCATCCTGAGCAGATTGAAGCAAGCAGGCCAGGAATCCACCAAGACGTAAGGGATCCTTCCCTTGTGACTAGAGCATGGCTGTGTCTGTGCAGTAAGGGTTGATTACTTGCTGTGCAGCCCTTGGCGTTTCCCAGTGATTTCACTCCAGACTGCTCTGCAAGGATGTGCAGGGTGTGCCAGCAGCAGCGTGCTTTCATGTCTGCCTTAATTAACATACTCCTGCCATTTTGGCTTTGTCTAGGAGGAAACGGTCTAGGAAGGTACAAAGTCAGGTGATGAGGTTGGCCTCCAATTAAAGCCCCATTTTATTTTGGGATATAGGGCCACGGAAGACAGCAGGATCCTGAGTTTTCCAGTAGAAGTGTTGATTGCCTCTTCATTCTCAGTGAACTCCAAGTTCGTAGAGACAGCCCCTGCCATTAGCCAGAAGACGTGTCCATCGCCTCTAAAGTACCTTCCAACCTGGTTCACTGGAAATGTACCTTGGGAGTACATATTCAGTGTTGGTTCTCAGTGTTAGTAACCACTTCTGTTGTCAGAAATGAGTGAGGGTAAGGTTATGTCAGAGTGGTTACTAAAGATCATAGCCTTAACTTTTTTTTATGCAAAAGAGACAGCTTGCTCCCCCTCCAGTGAGCAGCATGGCCTGCATTTTTCAAAAATAAGTACTTCCACGGCAGCCTAGAAAGGATCTCCTCTAAGGAACTTGATCTTTCTTCTGATGCATCTCTCCCAAGTCTGCATGCCTCGTGTGTCGCAGTCACCTCTTCCATTTTCACATTTAAACTAGTTTTCATTCCCAGTGAGTTGCCCCGACAACATTGTCTCCAGCGTCAGAGCCATGTTAGGGCTAGAATTTCTCAGATCGGGAGCTTGCATTGTCATACAGCCGACACTGCCTTTGTCAGGCCACTGCCACCAAGCCACTATTGCCCCAAGGTGGGCAAGTGAATTCCAGAAACCCTTAGGGAGCCAGGATAACTTGGCACCCCATATGGATTGGCCTGAGCAGCAGGTACTTGTCTCTGGGGTTCTTGCTTTTTCCAATGCCAACTTCAGGGCTCCAGGAAGGTCCCTCTAGAGGTTGATGGCCAGAGTCTTCCCCATGATGGGTTGGTAGGAATCAAAATGGGATGCCTGTGGTTTGGTTTTCTTGGGTGTTTGTTTGTTTTTGATGGGGGAGGGGAGTGATTGTGTTTCTGAATAAGAAAAAGAGGAAACCATGGCTCTTCTGAGGGTTTAAGCAGTGTTTTAGCCACAAATAAGGAATCTTGGAAGTCTTTGATCAATTAAGCAGTCTTAAAAATGTTTTTCCTAATTCCTTTTGCAGGGGACTGAGTGCAAAAGAATAGGTTTCTCCATTGTATTCAGAATAGTAAGTAGGTTCCCTGGATATAGACAGTAGTAGTTGACATATTTCCTCAAAAAGCGACCAGGAAGTCCACTCCAGAGTTTGTAGCTCAGCTTGTATTACAAAGGAAAAAGTGAATGTGTACTCCATATATTTCTAGTTTGATTACCAAACTCAGTGTTATAAAGAAACCTCAGTTCTGTGGACAGAATTTATTTTGTTACTTTTCTTTTTTTACTTCTCACAATCATCTTTCCAGTGTCATCACCACCTTCAAAGCAGAGGGTTATCAATGGTAAGAAATGGGGATGCAGTGCAGTCGTCCCAGTAACACACACAAGAGGACAGCTATCCTGATTGCCCCGACCCCGCAAATCCCCTCTTTCAGAGCAGGTGAGACATTTTCAGTGTTCCTCTTTTTGAGCTCCAGACCAAATCCCAGGCCAGCCCTTATACACTGAAAGCTTTTTTAAGAGGCTTATCAATCTGTTAGGAATGTCTCAGGAAGATGAGCCATTTCTTTGGCGGGGGTTTACGGGGGACTGTATCTACAGATGGGTGTGTGTGGTTGCATCTGTATGCGTGTGTGTGTGTGTCTGTGTGTGCACGTGCGTGCCAGCACTCATCTGTATGCATTTCACTTCCATAAAGACTCACAGCCCACCTGAAGAAAAAAAACCTCACAGCCCAGGTTGCTGGGACCATGTGTTCCTGAATATTCTCAGAAGTAAACAAGAAACAAATGAGTTTCTCAAATTGGTGTGGCAGCAAGCTGGCTCTGGGAATGAGCCCCATTTATCAAGCAGAAGAGTAAACAGCAGAAAAAAAGATGAAACCAAAAATATTATAAGCCCTCCCCAATGGAAAATAATGTTCATTCATCAATTCCCATTGGATGTATTACATGCTCTAATTTATTATATTATTATTTTGTCTGTTTCTTTAATCTTTGCCCATTGTACTTTTTAAAAGATGTTGGGATGTTGACTGCAATTTTTTATGACTAGATAATGTATAAATCAGCTGTGGAAATCAGTTTTAATCGATGCGTGGATGTGTCTGATTATTGTTAAATGCCTTTTTTTTTAACCTTTTATTTTAGATACGTAGTTTTGTTTCATAAACCCTGGCACTGGTCTGCAAAGCTCAGCTGTGAAAATGAAACTTGTAGTATTTTTAAACATGAATGTCAATTTCAAGGGTATTTGAAACAGTTCCTCCAGGAGAGAGATTTGTACACCATTAAGTAGAAACTCCTCTGCAGAGGAAGAAGCCTTCTTTGGAGTAAATGGAAATGGGTCTTGATATTATCTCAGAGTAGCCCATTTCCTAGGGCACCATGGAAAACACAAATGTGATCTTTAAGTATACCTCTTCTCCAATCTGGGGAGGAAAGGACTCAGTTTGCACCCTTTTTGTATGTACAATAAAATCTCTTACCTTTCTTGGCTAATTTTGCTTGTTTGGTTGGTTGGTTTGTCTGCTTTTAAGCTCTCCTGGTTCATTTGTAACGGAGAATCCGTCTAGGACTCGTAGTAACAAGGCTCCAGGAATGAAAATAATGCCTGATACTTTGGCATTCTTGCGTCATTCTTTTGGGTTGAACATTGACCTCTCCTGTGGGACCCTCAGAATGGGAGAAAATATTTGCAAATGAAGCAACTGACAAAGGATTAATCTCCAAAATTTATAAGCAGCTCACTTTAAATATTTCTGGGGCTTCCCTGGTGGCGCAGTGGTTAAGAATCTGCCTGCCAGTGCAGGGGACAGGGGTCCAAGCACTGGTCTGGGAAGATCCCACATGCCGCGGAGCAGCTGAGCCTGTGCGCCACAACTGCTGAGCCTGCGCTGTAGAGCCTGCAAGCCACAACTACTGAAGCCCGTGCATCTAGAGCCCGTGCTCCGCAACAAGAAAAGCCACCACCACAAGAAGTCCCCGCACTGCAACAAAGAGTAGCCCCTGCTCGCCGCAATTAGAGAAAGCCTGCGTGCAGCAACAAAGACCCAACACAGCCAAAAATAAAATTAATAAAATAAAAAACAATAAATATTTCTGGTAGAATTTGGACATTCATCACACATACTAATTCCTGTATCCCTGTGGTTCTTAGGTGCTAGAACACCAGGAAGTTAGGATCTGCTCTGGAACAACTATGAAATGGCAGCTTTGTAATTCTGCTCTACTGATGAAGAACATCTATACAGACAGAAGGTATAACTATGATGTGCATATATGGCACAAAACAACTGCCAGTCTGGCCATCATTGGTTCCAATTTTTTCTGTTACTACTCAATTGCTACTTAACGATTTCTTCTTTCACTAGTAAAAAACACGTTTAAGATCAGCATGAGAGGGACTTCCCTGGTGATCCAGTGGCTAAGACTCTGTGCTCCCAATGCAGGGGGCTTGCGTTCGATCCCTGGTCAGGGAACTAGATCCCACATACTGCAACTAAGAGTTTGCATGCCATAACTGAAGATCCTGTATGCTGCAACTAATACCCGGTGCAGCCAAGTATTTTTTTAAAAAATCATCATGAGAGAAAAACTTCATATTGAGAACACTGTATCCGTCAAGCTTATTTTTTTTCATTAATGCTGTTTTAGCATTAATTAGTTCCTCATGTGGAGAAGGCTACTTTGAAAACATAGCTTGGTAAACAATTTTCTCAGTGTGGGCAATGTGAGACCAGTGAGTGGGGAAAGAGGCTTAAGAGACCCAAAAAATGAAGGAGGAGAGGAAGAGGGGGTTGAAAGATCATCTTTCTCAGTGCAACCATTTTACGTAGAAGAACCTCCACCTCATTGAGAGGTGGTCTGGATTGAGGTGTGAGAATTAGAAACAGCAAATGTTATTTGCATTTATTTGAGAGAACTGTCTGTTGAAGCTCTGCAGTGACCTCAGTGTAAGGAAGGACAAGGTAATGTCAGTGGCCATGCATAACCTCAAACTCAGGTCGGCACCTTATATAGAGACCAAATTGCCAAGTTCGACTATAGAAATGGAGCCATGTCTACCTACAATCTGGGCTGTGAAGACCAGGAATTTCTGTAAAGTTAATCTTTGAAAATTAAAGACATTTAATAATGTCATGGTTCCCAGCTTTAGAAAGATGTCAGTGGCAATTTTGGGTGTGCGTGTGTGCTAGACTTGCAGTACTTAAGTATATATGTTGCGGACTGTTGGGAACAAGCGTCTTCGGAGCCCTGAAATACTGCTGGGGGCGCATCTGACGACTACTCCTGACCTTCCGGGAGATTTCTAGAAAAGAGGGACTCAACCTCAGACCGTTGCAGATATTATTTCCCACCTCAGTGCCAACGTGACGGCTGTTCCATCCAGCATTTGTTGAGCACTTAGCCCTGAAGCAGTTGGGGGAGCTGTATACAAAGTAAGAGCAACAGTCCGTTTCTCACCAAAATAAATAAATAAAAATTTTAAAATGTAGTTGCTTGGGAAAACAGGTAAAAAAAGGAAGTTAAGAACCACAGTATACAATAGTGTGCGTTGACTCATACAGCAGTAAGCACAGTAAGATTAGAGAAGGGAGAGAAAAAAGGTAGGACAGTGACAGGGATGAAGTCAAAAGGAAGTGGGTTTTGAAGCAAGTTTTGCAAGACAGACGGAGCTGTATAAGGTTATATACTCTGGGTAGGCATAAACGTGCCCTGAGTTTTTGGAGGCTACACATTTAAACCCAATTCGGTGTGACTAACCCTTGACTGGCCCAATACGGACAACGACCAGTGTCTTCTGCCCCATCCACAGACTTCCTAACCTAAAGCCTCGGTCACCACCTGCCAAACGACTTCCACTCCCACAAAGGCGCGGCGGGCCATGGGGTCTCTCCGCTTGGGCTGGTAGCCTCTTCAGAAGCCCAATCCGGGGCTCTTGGAGAGGGCGTCGCCTTCCGCTCATCCTCTTCCTGTTAGTGGGCGCCGACGAGCTGTGAAGCCAATGAGGCCACAGTAACGTGGCAGCCACCCACGAGCCCGCGTCTCCGCCCGCCCAGTCAGCGAGCCGGGCTCCGCCCCCCAGGGGGACCTACCATCTGGCGCCCAACCAGAGGGGGAAATGGGGCCTGCCTCCCGCTAGGAGGCCTGCAGGAGCCCCGGTTCCCCCCGGCTGCGCTCGGTGGAGGATCCGGGCCCACGTCGCCGCGCCCCTACCCTCCTCCAGCCTCGGCAGCCCGGCCCGCGCTAGCTTCTCCCGGTGGATGCTGCGCCTCTCGGAGCGGAACATGAAGGTGCTCTTCGTCGCCGCCCTCATCGTGGGCTCCGTCCTCTTCCTGCTGTTGCCTGGACCTTCTGCTGCAGATGAGAAGAAGAAGGGGCCCAAAGTCACTGTTAAGGTCCAGCCTCCCGTCTCCAGACCTGCCTGGCGAGGCCTGCCCTCCGCCGCCTGGGTTCCGGCCTTGGCGCCTCTGGTCACACATGTCCGAGGCATTTCGGGTCCCAGAGCTTGGGCCTGGGCGTCCTCGGCCTTGGCTCTGCCCCTCCCTAGTTTCCCTGTCGTGGCCTCTTGGCGCCTGGGCCGTCCTCCCCCATTCAGACTGGAGAATGACCCGGACCCTCCCCGAGAGCCCAGCCCTGACCCAGGCGTTGGCGCCCAGGATGCCCAGCTGGGGCCGGCATTGCAGACTCAGAGTCGCCTATTTGCAGATACCCCACAGTGCTGAGGAAATGGTGAAAGATCGCGCCTGCCAGATTGCCAGTCTTTTCTCTACGTAGGCCAGATTTCAGCCACTTCAGTTACAAAGCACAGCAATGTAATAGTTTACACCTGAGTGGTGTGCTTAGGCTCCCATCTTTATGGTGTTTTGATGTTAAGTTTTAGAATCTGGGCCCATTATTTATTTAGAGCAAAGGTTGTTACTCTAGTCTAAGGAGAGTGTAAGCAAATGGAGCTTTCATTAGATTCTCATGGGGTTTTTGTCGCCACCAAAATCAGATTCAGAAACTGCTCTTAAAATATGGGTCTGTTTTCTCGCATCCTCCGGGTAGCTTCTTGGACCTCGGTTCCCTAGGAAGGACCCTTTTAAGAGGCTAAGTTTGAAATTGTCTTTTTCCTCAGGTGTACTTTGACTTGCGAATTGGAGATGAAGATATAGGCCGGGTGGTCATCGGTCTCTTTGGAAAAACTGTTCCAAAAACAGTGGATAATTTTGTGGCCTTGGCTACAGGAGAGGTAAGTGGCTAGAGCGGAGGTAGCCAAGCTCACAGGCAGTGGAGTTGGCAAGTAGGGTTGGCAGGAAACTGAACTGCAGAGCGTGGCCCACCCATAGCAGTGGCCGTCACGGAGTACCAGCTGTGTCCTCTGGCACTGGGAACCCAGTATTATCATATCTTCTCAGTTTTTTAAACTAAATCCAGAATTAGAATTTTTTTTCTTTTTTTGAGAAAATTTTTCATCTTTGAGACTTTGCAGTAACCAAAGAAAACATCCAGGGAAACTAGTTTGTGGTCTCTGCACCAGAGTGAGGGGCCCAGAGCTTTCCAGGTTTTAAGGAAATGAATGCCCCATTTAAGAAAGTCTGGGGCTTCCCTGGTGGCGCAGTGGTTGAGAGCCCGCCTGCCGATGCAGGGGACACGGGTTCGTGCCCCGGTCCAGGAAGATCCCACGTGCCGCGGAGCGGCTGGGCCCGTGAGCCATGGCCGCTGAGGCTGCGCGTCCGGAGCCTGTGCTCCGCAACGGGAGAGGCCGCAGCAGTGAGAGGCCCGCATACAGAAAAAAAAAAAAAAGGAAGTCTGCATTCCAACTTCCCATTGGGTCGGCAGGTAACTTTTTTTTTTTTTTTGGTCAGTTTTCTTCTCTTCCTATGATTAGATTAGGAAAAAACGAGAGGGGAAAGGTGGAGGCATTATGTATGAAGTAGAATTGTATAAAGGCAGAGGAAATGTGCGGTCTTATAGCCTTTCCTGGATCTGTGTGCTCCAGGCCTGGCCTTTGATTACTGGTCACCCAGTGGCACGTTGAAGGATGAATCTGCCAGCAGGGGTTTCTCTTCTGTGAGCAGTTGTTGTTGTGGGCTGGGTTCCTGCAGGGCCTATTTAATGTCTGCCTGGTGCCTCATGCCGCCTTCTCACCTTCTCATCCCTTTTTCTAGAAAGGATTTGGCTACAAAGACAGCAAATTCCATCGTGTGATCAAGGACTTCATGATCCAGGGTGGAGACTTCACCCGGGGAGATGGCACTGGAGGTAACCTCAAATCCTCTGGGCAGAGGGGTCTGTCGGTGCAGCCCCCAAGGTGGGAGGGCCAGGGAACCCAGTACAAAGGAGAGGGAAGAATGGGTTTCAGGTGGACATAAGAGAATCTCACGCAGCTGGCAGACCAGCTGATCCAGGCCTACAGCCTCGGTGACTTGCCTCGCAGTACGCCCTGCGGGGAGGGGAGCAAAGTGAAACACCTGTAGGTGATTCTAGGTCAGGCATGCAAAGCTTGTGTGGGCGGCCTTGGAAGCCCCAGCAAGGGTGGGAGAAGTTGTTCTCCTTGGCAGTCTCCCCCCAGAGACCACTTGACAAGAGCTGGCAGTCTCACCTGCGCTACTTGTACAGTAGGACAGACAGACAGCCTGGACTAACCAACAGGTCTCACCACACTTGGGTGCACAGCCTGCTGTTCCTTTAGACCACAGCTGCAGCTCACCCCACCGATCAATATTTACTGGGCCAGGCTCTGTGGTGGGTGCCGAGGATGCAAAAACCAGTGGGACGGCAACTCCCTTTCACTTCCAGTACCTGAAAAGTCACAAATGGGCTGTAACACAGCTTTTAGGGCTCAGGCTCTGTTCTCAAGTGGTTTATCGTCGAGGTGGGAAGAACGAGGAGAAAACACTATGAAAGTGACATAATACAAGATGTAAGTCATAGCTAGCTGGACGACAAAGACAAAGCAGACGTGATACAAAAGCACTGTAGTCATGGAGTCACACACAGTTGGGTGTCTGCCACCTTCTTACTTTGTGACCTCAGGCAAGTGAGTCCTCTGAACCTCAGCTTCCTCTTCTGTGGAGTAAGTGGTAAGAGTTGTGGGTGCTGGGAGGGTGAGGTGAGATGTTGAGTGCGTAGTGCCCAGCGAGTGGTAAGTAAAGTCAGCTGTCGTCAAAGTGCCTACAAGTAAAGGACTCACTTTGCACCAAGGTGATCAGGAAATGGCCTCGTAAACGTGAGGACAGATTTGAGCGGGGACAGATCTGGCTGGGGAGAATTTGCGTGGGCAGGGAAGAGGCAGGGTTAAGGCGTGAGCTCAGGTCTGGTCTGCGGCAGGAACTTGGCCAAAGGTGGGGTCAGGAGGATGGAAGTGAAGCTCCCACCGGGAACCCAGAGTGGCGGGCCGCGGCCAGGCCAGGGACCCAGGGCTTTGTCCTCCACGGAGTGAGGATCCGCTGAAGACTTGAATGGGAGCAAGGCCTGATCGCAAAGGAGTTTGAGGGATAATAATGTGGCAGATTCAGGACATGGACACAGGAGAAGCAGACTGGCAGGGGTGTTGGTGCAGCTGCCCCTGCGTTGGGCGATGTGGGCCTGAACCCAGGCAGGATACCTAGTGGGTAAGAGCAGAGATTCGAGAGCCAGACCACCTTGATCTTGGTTTGAATTCCAGCTCTGCTACTTCCCAGCTGGGGTGCCTTTAACCTCTGTACCTCGGTTTCTTCATCTTTGCAATGGGGCTCTTAGCTCCTGCCTTACAGGGTGGGTTTTTTATGCTTCACACGCTTGCACCAGCCCTCTGGCACACTGGCCCCACTCTGAGCATTAGCTGTGATTGCAGCGGGGGTAGCAGGAATGGGAGAAAAGGATGAATCCGTGATGGGGGTGAGGACAACATTGACAACGCGCGGAGGAAACAAATGTCCAAAGAATAACTGAAGTCTGGAGAGAAAGGTGACAAAGTATGTTGAGTTTAAAACCTTCACTATCCATTCAAGTTTGGGACTCCTTATATCTTGGTAAAGTGATTGGAGCTAAGGATATAGACTTGGGAATTTTCTGGATAGCAGCAGTAGTTGAAGTCCTGCAGTTCACTGAGATGTACAAAGAGGATTCTCACATGGGAATCCTCTTTTTTTAAAGAAAAACTAAAAGAGTTGACAGTTTTATTTTCGCATTTCACATTACAAATAAAAATAGCTTTATTTGGTCCCACTACTCCCCTCCAAACCTATTCTCTCTTTGATAGGAAGGGGGAACAAGTCTTCCTTGTCATGCTGTTAGAAAACACCCCAAGTCACAGCGCCGTGATCTCTTGGTGAAGTAGAACAAGTAATATAAAACTGATGTAAAGAGGCTCCCCAATCTCCTGTCTGGTTGAGTCCTTCCTGGCCAGGTGATTTTCACACTTCCCACTTACTGTACAATCAGAAATACCTCCTCAGCATCAGTCTAGGACAGCTTCCCAACCTGGTTCCACTCTGTGGGAACCACAAGATGAAAATACATGTATTGAAGAGGAAAAAGGTTTCGTATGCAAATAAGTTTGAAAGGTGTTGGGTAAAACAAAATGAAAATTACTTCTTTGCTGCTGGGTTTCCTGGGGCCTCTAGTGCACAGTGTGAATCTCTAGGAGAGGACAGGGACAAAGAAGGGTGCAGTATTTCTCCTGGAACCAGCCTTGGGAACTTAGGTTAGGATCTCTGGAATGGGGTAGAGATCCTCTCGGCTCCACTGTCTTGTATGCTGGCCCCAGACCCTCCACAGACAGACACAGTAAACACACTCAGAGCCACCTTTTATTTTGGTTCATGCGTTGATAAGAGGCTCTTGACTTTCCAGAACTGAAATGGCGGCCCCTCTCTCTTGCTTCTCCCTGCCCCTCCCCACTCATCTCTCCTCCTGCTTTGGAGTGTCCTCAGTATCTTTTGGGCTCTTAGGAAGAAAAGCTGGTCAGCCACAGCAGTCCTCCTTTTTCTTTTTTTTTTTTTTTTGTGGTACGCGGGCCTCTCAGTGTCGCGGCCTCTCCCGTTGCGGAGCACAGGCTCCGGATGCGCAGGCTCAGTGGCCATGGCTCACGGGCGCAGCCGCTCCACGGCATGTGGGATCTTCCCGGACCTGGGCACAAACCCGTGTCCCCTGCATCGGCAGGCGGACTCTCAACCACTGCGCCACCAGGGAAGCCCTAGTCCTCCTTTTCTGGAGGGTTCTTACCTGCCCTGCATCCTGCACAGCACCTCCCTCCACTAAAGTAAGTCCCCATGGCAGGCCTCTCAGGCCACAGCCAAGGTAGTTTTTAATATGTGCCTTATTTGAAAGTCGTAAAACTATATTCTCAGAGTAATCATTGTGTGAGCTATTCACTAAATCACCCTGGCCTCATGTCCCACTTGGGCTGTCAGTATGGTTTGGCTCCAGGGCCAGAGGGTAGGAAGGGAACCGCTTGTACGTCCTTGTACTCCACTGGAGCCTGGCCTGGCACGGGGGACAGGTTCAGCCTCTGGAATCCTCGCCCCGAAGATCTGCTTCGTTGGGGCTCCCCCAGCTCCCCTGACCTACTCTTTCTTCCCAGGGAAGAGCATCTATGGTGAACGCTTCCCTGATGAGAACTTCAAGCTGAAACACTATGGCCCTGGCTGGGTAAGCATGGCCAACGCAGGCAAAGACACCAACGGCTCCCAGTTCTTCATCACAACGGTCAAGACAGCCTGGTTAGATGGCAAGCATGTAGTGTTCGGCAAAGTTCTAGAGGGCATGGTGAGTTTGGGGGGGAGGGACTAACTGTAGGCAACCCTGATCAGGGATCTGACACAGACCCCAGGGCAGGGGATCCATATATTTTATCCCTTCCCCAGAAGGGAATGTACAGATTCTGACCAGTGTTTATTTCTACAAACCTGGGGGGAATTGAGACTAAACAGCCTCTCTCTCTCTATGCCCCCGAGTTTTTTTTTTTTTTTTTTTTGGTCATGCCGTCTAGCGTGCAGGATCTTAGTTCCCCGACTAGGGATCGAACCCGTGCCTCCTGCCATGGAAGCCCAGAGCCTTAACCACTGGGCCGCCAGGGAAGTCCTGCCTCCAAGTTCTAAATCCCTCCAGGCCCCAGGCAGAGGCCGGCCAGGAGGTCTCGGTGAGGCTGCACAGTTGAGGACCCTCCATCCCGTTATTCAGTCAGGCATGTCCTGGCACCACCGTCGGTTGTACAGGGCCCAGCCGCCCCCCTCCTCACCCCTAGCCCAGCCTGGGTCATACTTCAGAGGATCGAAACTACTGCATCCTCCTGTTGTCAAATCTGGGTTCTTCTTGCCCTGGGCTGGCGCCCGGCCACGATGCCCTTAGGATTTTGGTGCCTCGTGGTTTGTACACTGTTCATCACGTGCAGGTTTCAGCCCTCGCAGCCGCACGCTGGGGCCTGTCTCCCTTGACCAGCAGACCGCCTGACACTCTGCCTTCCTCCCCAGGATGTAGTGCGTAAGGTGGAGAGCACCAAGACAGACGGTCGGGACAGGCCTCTGAAGGACGTGACGATCGCAGACTGTGGCAAGATCGAAGTGGAGAAGCCCTTTGCCATCGCCAAGGAGTAGGGCCCCAGGGACCTCTTCCCTTTGAGCGACTGTCTGTGTGGCCCTGTTGCCCTCCTGGGGGTGAAGACAGCCCGCCACAGGGCTCCATGCTGCACTGGCCGTAGTGCTGGCATCTGATGGAGCGGACCCCTCCCCCCACATTCTGCGGGCCCGCGGGCCCAGTTTTGTAACAAACTCCTACCAACAAACACTGACGGATTAAAAAAAAGGTGTTTATAATCTGCGTATGGGCTGGGTTCTGGGGCCTCCGGCACACCCACCCACCCACCCGACCCTAAATCCAGTGCCAGCCCGCCTGGGGCTCCTGTGGCAGTGGTGCCTGTCCCCTCCTTGGGTTCCGGCCTGAACCCTTTCCCTCCAGAAATGAGGGAGAGATGAACACAAACCAGACATTTCTAACTGGCCACACAAGTCTGGGAGGGCAGGGGGAAACAGATCTGGACATTCACAGAAAAATGTGCTACGCACAAAATGTCAAGCAGAAGCTTTTGCCCCTTGCTTCTGAACTTGGCTAGCCACTGTGCCTCAACCTTTGCATGTCCCCGCCATGCCTTTCTCCTGACGTAGGTAAAGGAATACACCTGCCCCTTTTCATAGCCCACCTCCAAACTGGTGGGCTATGAACATTCTAAAGGAATTCTACCTTTATTCCCTATCCTCTGTTGTCCCCACCCTGGCCCCTGGGCTCTAGGAGTGCAGGATCCTACCCCCTCAGACACCAGTGCAGCTGAGTTCTGAGCCTGGAGGGGTGGAGGGTGGTGAGTCCGGGGTCCAGGCCAAGGCTGACCCAGCCCATGTCCCTTTCATAGGATTGAGGTCCATGACTGTCCTGGCAGGTGGCCTAAAGCCCTCTGGACTGGTCAGGGCATCGGTGGCACTGGAGCAGGGTGACAGGCAGCCTCTGGCTGGGCTTTAGCTGTGCTGGCGCTGAAGCCATAGAGGCCCTGGAGCACACCGTTCACCACCACGTTGGGCAGAGGCTCTAGGACAGAAGGAAAACAGGAGTAAGGGGTAGGGGCTTCAGGGCAAGAGGAAGTGGGGCGGGCCTGGCTGCAGGCCTGCAGCTCCCTGAGCTCGGGCTCATAGGCTCAGCACCCCCTGTTCCCCGAGAACAGGGGTCCCTGCCAAGGCAGCAGGTAGCAGCTGGCCAACTCAAATGAGGCCTTGGCATTCCCAGTTCACATTCTGTTCACATCTTGGCAAAGCCAGGCTGGTAAAGAATGGAGACCAGGGGAGCCAAGCTCATTTCACCATGTCTACTTCCTGGAGGAAAATACAAAGCAGGCTACAGGGGCACAGGAACAGCAGGGAGGTGTGGCCCCAAAGGGGGGCAGTAGGAGGGAGATGCTGCCTAGGGGTCCTGCGAGCTGAGAAATATCAACTTCACCCTCACTCCCACCCTGGTACCTGGGCCCTAAGTGTGGATTATGGGTCAGAGGCACCTCCTCACCTGGGGATGGGATGCAAATATAAGGATCCATGCAGAAGCTGATAACAGGCCGGTGGTACAGCTGTGAGCTAGGAAGAAAAGGGGTCATGAACAGTGGAGGGGGAAACAGAGAAAAGTGTCAGGTTGGGTGGAGACTAAGGACTGAGATCACCAAGGACCCACAGAGGAAAAGTGGGAAGTGGGCTCAGGAGGCAACAACATGAAAACCTGGAGCACGGGGACAGGCCAGAGACTTCAGGCCCTGGCGTATGGCCACGAGGGGGCAGCAGGAACCCAGTGCAGACAGGGACTTGGACTTGCCTGCTGTTGCCGGGCAGGAACTCCCCCAGGGCGCTGAAAAGAAGAGAGAGGCTGTGAGCTGCCTGGGGATGCCCGTGGGGGGGGGGGGGGGGCGTGTGGCAGGGGTGGAGATGCGGAAGCCCAGAATTTCACCTCCCAGGGGACTGACTGCTGCTTCTATTTCTAACAAACTCAGCTCGGGAGGCACCCGGGGTAGCCAAGGCTCTTCAGAAAACAGCCCCTCCACAGGGGTCAAGAAAGCCTACTGGGGAGGTGTGTCTTAAAGAGGAAGAACCAGGCTAGGGCCTGGCAGATACAAGAAGGAAAGGGGCTTGACCTCTAAAACCTTTCCTCGCCTGCTGGCTGCAGAGAGCCCCTGTCCCCACAACACTGGGGCCCCTCTCATGCCAAGCGCCTCTAGAGATGCTCACCCCCAGCTGCTGGCCTTGGGGACTATGGGCAAGTGGCGAAGACTCAGGAATTCCAGTAGTTCCTTGGGCACATCCTGGTTCAAGTATAGGATGCCCTGGAGAAGAGAACAGAGGCAACCTGTAATCAGATTCAGCTGTGTAATACGCAGAGCCTGGTGCAAATTGAAAACACGTGGGCCCTTCCAAAATGATAAAGAATTTCAAGACAGCCAGAGCAGAGCATTAAACCAAGCTAGGGCCCTTCTGAGCACTGGCCCTGGGTGACTATACAGATTGGCTCACGAAGCCAGCCTGGCCTGCAATTGGGCATAACCGTGTGGGAGAGGGGGGGAAGGATCTCCACCCTCATCAGGAGGGCAGTACAGGATCTCACCCTGGAGAAGGACAGCTAGCCTTTATTTAACTGGGACTACCTGCCTCCTGGGTACCTCACTCAATCCTACCAATTCAGAGAGGGACTAGAACATGGCCAAAATGTAGGTCCCCTTCACCCCAATCCCCCGCACCTCTCTGCCGGTGTCACACCTCTGGTCCAGCAGGCTGAGAGGCAAACAGAGTGAGACCCACACACACCTGGATATAGGCCTCCAAGCTCTGCCGCCGCTGCTCCAGTCCTCTGGTCCTCCAGTTGGGCAGGCGTTTCGAGGGGAAGTCGGGCACTTTGGACAGTTTCTTGATCTGCCAGGAGGTTACCGCAGTGCGATCACAGCATCCCGATTGAGCCCTCAAGCTCACTTCATCCTAGCCAAGAGCCCTCCCCAGTCCTCCCTGCCACCCACACCCCCAAACTTCAGGCTGTACCCTGAGACACGCCCGCGTGGTGAGTAGTGGTTGGGACAAGGGCGAGAGGCGCCCCCAACACCCCTGTCCGCCCCCAAGACGCCCGGCGCCAGACCAGCCGCGCAGGGGCACGGGCAGCACGTGGGACCTAACCCTTTGCGCGCGTTCCGCAGCCCGCAGGGAGGTCTGTGCCCACGACCTGAGCTCTCTAGGGCCCGGTAATGGGGGTGGCAGAGGCTGGGGCCCGCCAGCTTGTCTGCCTGCCTCTCAGGGCTTGGGAAGGAGCCGGGCCGGGGTCGGTCTGTCGGTGGTGGGCGCAGCCTCACCCGTTTGTGCAGCGCGTGGAACTCGCTGTAGCGCCTCTGCACGGTGTGTCTGCGCCCGTGGCACAGCACCTCCACTCGGAACACCTGGCGGGCGCGGGAGGGCAGCCGGGTGCGCGTGAGGCCTGGCGGGTTGGTGCAGCAGGACCGGCTCCCGGCGACGCACCCACCCTCCGCCCTCAGAGGCGCAAAGCGGCCTGGGAGCGCCGCTGCTCTCCAGGGACCCTCCCAAGTCCCCACACACTTGGGGGCTCTGCTCCGTGCAGTCCCTCAGGAGCCGGGACCGCCGTCGGCGGGGCTGGCAAGTCCAAGCGGCCCAGAGACCCTCGGCAGCGTGTCCCCAGACGGCCTGGGCCGCCGCGCTCGGACCCCGAACCCGAGGTGCGGGGTCCGCATTGCATTTGACGCAGGGAAATCCGGCGGGTCCCCGCGCCCCTTCCCATCCACTGCCCCCGCTCACCATGTGGCCTTTTTCGGGGCTCTGCCGGGTCCCCTCGGCCTCGGGCCCCACCGACGGGATGCGAACTTCCAGCATGCACGCGCCGCTTGCAGCCGAACTCTCCGCGCTCCGACCAGAGACCGCGGCGTCGCCGGCCCCGCCTCCTCGTGCCTGCGGGACCCGCCCCTACGTTGGCCCCGCCCAGGGCGTTCCCCAGCGCCGCCGGGTCCTGCAAGGGGCTGATTAGGCTGGAGCCCGATAGCGCGAGGCGGGCGCCGCCCACTGAGCCTAATGGGGCCGCAGAACTTGGAGACCCTTCGGCAGAAAGCCATCTGTTTGTCAACATGTCCACATTCACCGAGTCCCCAGTGATTGACAGGAATGCGGGAGAGCCAAATTTCACCTGCTCTTATTCGAGCGCCTGCTAAGGGCTGTAAGCCCCTGTGGGCATTGGCAAGGAGGGAGGCTGGGCCCAGATCCACCAGGGGCGTTCCTTGCGTTCCTCACACCCTTGCCCAGGACCAGGCTGCATCCCCATCTCCTTCCCTCCACCTTCAACGTGGACCCTGGGAGCGCGGCCTGGGGTAAAGCTTGGACGCACTCTGGCTTTGATGTCCCCCTTCCCCCAGCATTCGTAGGCCCCATTCATTCATTTTTTAAAAAAATATTTGGCTGCATCTGGTCTTCTTTGCGGCAGGAAGGCTCTTTGTTGCAGCACGTGGGCTCCAGAGCGCACGGGCTCATTAGTTGCAGCACACGGTCTCTCTAGTTGTGGAGTGCGGGCTTAGTTGCCCCGCGGCCCGTGGGATCTTAGTTCCCAGACCAGGGATCAAACCCACCTCCCCTGCACTGGAAGGTGGATTCTTAACCATTGGACCACCAGGGAAGTCCCCATTCATTCATTTTAAAAATCCATTCCTCCATTTCAATCATCTTTCAGCCCAAACCTTCATCAGGCGGAGGAGAGGCAGTGTAGGGACAGAGGCTCTGCTTTAGCGGTCAGACAGCTTGGGTTTCCCCAACTGTGTAGATCTGTGCTCATCTGCAAAATTGAGATAATATGCCTCCTTCGGGCGAGTGTACGAAAACTGAGAGAGATAATCCCTGCTAAGCCCTCAGCAGAGTAGGTATTAGGAAAATGGCAGTTTGTGGGCTCATCCTGGAAACACAGGTGGGTGATGCTGGTATGCAGGGCAATGGATGGGGAAGAGGGACTGTGGGAGGTGGCACGAGGCTGCCCTTGCCCACTCTTCTGGCAGAGTCTTTCTGGGTGTGTGACAGGATTTAATCCAGAACTCTCTCACCTCCTGTGCTAGGAAAGGGTTCTGCTCCCACCTCTCAGCGCTCTTCCCCCACCCGCCTAAGGGAGCTTTCCCATTCAGCACAAGCCTCCACTCCATTGACTCCTCCCCAGATAGTCTTGGGGGGCAGTGGAGGAAGGCGAGGCCCCTGCCTCCCAGAGCTCACCCCAGCAGAAAGCTTGATGGTGGGAAGGAGCAGAGAACCTGTCGTAGGAGCTGGGGTTGGGGGACCACTGACTCCCTCCCTCCCTTGCTAGTGCAGAGGTGTTTCTGAGCTGGAGCAGAAACTCCCCATTCCCAGCTCTGCCCCCAGAGAGAGGCTGAGAGGATGACCCCATAAGGGGGCAAGCAGGTCTCACCAATACTATGTTCCACACTTTCCCCCCGCCAAATTCCATCTCACAGGGGCCTCAGAATCAGGAAGCTGAAACCTCCTGGAAGGGAAACGATCCACCATGAGGAGAAGTGCTGGTGTTTCATTACCTCCCTTGTTCTCTAGGGCCCCATCAGTCAGGGACCCTGCTCTCCTTGTCTGCTGTTCAGGGAGTCCTCTTCTAGGACCCTCAAACCTCTAAACTTCTTGGTCGCCCATCCTAATGAAGGTCTGCCTCTGTCTCTATTCCCACCACCCAGAACACTGCCACATCTTCTAATGGACCTCTCTTGTTTTTCCTGCCTCTCTCCCTCATACAAGGTCTACTCTCTACCTAGTAGCACAGACCTTCCAAAGGCTTCACGTTGTGCTTAAAACAAAACCCGCCCTCCCCGCCATAGTCTACACAGCTCTAAATGACCCAGCCCATCTCTCATTTTCTCTCCTACCCTCTCATGCATGGGGCTCCAGCCACAGCGACATTCTTCCAGTTCTTCAAACCTAACGAACTCTTTCTGCCTCAGGACATTTATACTGTTTCATCTCTCTGAAACACTTTTTTTTTTTAGAAGTTTTGTGGGTTTTTTTTTTAATTTTTAAATTTTATTTATTTTTGGCTGCCTTGGGTCTTCATTGCTGCGTGCGGGCTTTCTCTAGTTGCGGCGAGCGGGGGCTACTTTCCGTTGCAGTGCGCGGGCTTCTCACTGCGATGGCTTCTCTTGTTGTGGAGCACGCGCTCCAGGCACGTGGGCTTCAGTAGTTGTGGTGCACGGGCTCAGTAGTTGTGGCTCGTGGGCCCCAGAGCGCAGGCTCAGTAGTTGTGGTGCACGGGCTTAGTTGCTCTGCGGCATGTGGGATCTTCCCAGACCAGGGATCAAACCCGTGTCCCCTACATTGGCAGGTGGATTCTTAACCACTGTGCCACCAGGGAATCCCTCCCTGCAACACTTTTTCCTTACTCTTCACCTGGTGGGCTTTGCCTAAAACTTCTAATTCTTAGCCTAAAACTCACCTTCTCATAGACACCTTCCTTCCTGACCATCCTATCATAAGCACCTTGTCTCTGCACTCATTCCAATATTACTGTTACTGTTTGTTTATTGTTTCTCCCTGGTGTCCCCAACTCGGCCCCCAGACTCAGTACCAGTGAGCCAGGGACATGGTCTCTTGTCAGGGTTTTGCCACCATGGTGCCAAGCATGTAGTAGATGCTCAAAAGAAGCATTGTTGATTGAAAGACTGCATGAATCAATGGGGGAAGGGGATGATGGGAAGAGGCTAGGGAGAGGAGGGAAGGCCTGGGAAAGAGGCAGGAAGGGAGCAGGGTTGCTGAAGGGTTACAGGAAGGCCTGCAGAGGGATAACAACAGAAATCCTCTTCCTACCTTCAGAGTTAGACTCTTATCTCTCGCTCTCTCTCTCTCTCTCTCTGAAGACCATCATCCACCTCATTCACTTACTTGATTTTCAGCTGTTCCTGAGAAGTCTCAAATCAATGGATTTTCATCCCCATTGATAGAGGGAGATTTGATGCACCTGACTGGTAAAACATTTGGTAGTAAACCTGCAGCTCCTTATTCCACAGCATTTCATTCAGACCTGAGTGAAGATCCAAATGAAGAAAAACAAGATCCTTGACCTGGAGACATTTATGTCTTTGGGGAGATAAAACAACTTATGGAGAATATTTTCCTGTAAAGAGGAACACGTGACATGATGTACACTCCAAAGCAGTTATTACAGTCAAAGGAAAAGTTTGTTTCCTGTATACTTTAAACATTGGCCCTCTCCGTATGTGAACAGTGACCTAAGTTCCAGTCTCAGATTACACGGCCCTAACGGGGTTTTCCGAATGCATACTCCTGGCGTGGAGTCTGACCCAGTGCGTTTTCCACAAGGTCGCTGGTGATGCTTATGCTCCTGGTTGGGGGCCACATTGTAAACACCTGTCTCTTGACGCCCACACCAGCCCTGCCAGGGAGGCGGGCCATTCTCGCCCCACTGTACAGACGTGAAGCCTGGAGATGAGGATCAAGGGCCAAGCAGAGGGCAGGAAGGGCTGGGGGCAGAGGTGTCCACCCCCGACACGCCCCCTCTCCTGGGGCCGCCTGGTCGCGGGCGCGCAGGTGGGTTGGACCGCGTCTCCGCCCTGGCTCGGCCCTCGCCTTCCACTGCCCTCACACAAAGCCCCTTTCACGGGCTCGGCTTCTACTGGGCGACCGGCGCTGTTCCGGAGGTTTGGTTAACCCCGTTAAGAAAACAAACAGCTCCTGGGCCTCGGGCGGGCAGGGGGGCGCCGCTGGGCACAGAGACTGGATGCTTTCCCCTCCCCGCGGGTGGGCGGAGGCGGACTGACCTGGAACCCCATTAACCCCGGGCAAGGCTGGGCCTGGACTGCTGGGATGGGGGCTGGAGTTGGAGGTTCTGGTCGCCAGGGCAACCTTTGACAACGCCCATGCCTCAGCGTCCTTACCTGTACCACGGGGAGTTGTGTGTAGACTAAGTGACATCATGCTTCCAAAGTGTTTGGCATGGGGCCTGGCACACAGGAAATAAACATTAGCTATTCTTATTCGACTGAATTATACGAATTCGCTGTTTTTGCAGGCCAAAACTGTGGGGTTTTGCCAATTACATATGGTCCGTCCAATATATTGTTAATGATTCATCTCTGAAACAACAAAAGCAAATTCTTCTATTCCTTTTTCAGTATCCTGAGGTTGCAAGGTTAGCTTAAAAACAGACAAACAAACAAACATTAGTTACTCCAACTACTAACTCTGTGATCAGGCTTTTCCTGATTTTCTCATTGTGCAACCAAAAACAGGTAAGAGAATGAATTCGAAGCAGAGGTTGGTGTAAATCAGCGACCATCCTGTCCATCCTAACAGCCTCAGAGCACTTACTAACTGCTTAGTAAGTACATCTTATACATGTGAAATAATAATAATCAAAATAAAAATTTTTATGTTGTGAATATTGGACTTTGGTACAGATGTCTAAAACATCAGTTCTGCTGCCACATTTTAAATTACTGAGCTAGTCTAAATTCATCATTTTATAGATGAGGAAGCTGAGGTGTGAGGAAGGGAGAAGTGGGCTGTGGAAAGGGCTGTGTTAGGAAGGCACCTCTGACAAGCATGTCCTGCCTGAGCCCTGAGAGCAAAGTCTGACCCCCCGTTAGACTGGTGCCCGGCTTCCCAAGGGACAGGTAGGCTCCAGCCAGCAGTGTCAATCCTAGGAGACCCCCCGCCTCTTGCCCAGAAGACAGGCAGCTCAGCTGCTTCAGACAACATGATACAAGGCCAGGGCAGGGGAGGCAGAGACCCCTCCAGCCGCCCGGCTTCGAGGCAACAGCTTCCCGGGGAGACTTTTCTGGTGCTACAACGACTCCTAACATCCCTTAGGGTGGTACGTCAGGGGACCAACCGATTGCCCTTCTGGTGCGCCCGCACCAGGGCTCAAGGAATAAAGACATGCTCAGGTACCCTCAAGTCACAGGACTTAAGCATGGAGGAAG